GATTGGCAAAGAGACCCATGAAGAATGTAGCCAAAGCAGAGATGGCAGCAGTTGCGGTAACAGCGTCGCGCTTGACCTCAGCAACACAAAGTTGATAAGCATCATCCGGAACACAAGCACCATCCTTGTAAGCAGGGCAAACGCAGGTACCGCCAGACTCGGAAACGATCGAGGAGTTTACAGCAATGATGTACGCCATGGCAAAAAAGGTGGCGAGGCCAGCCCGGATCTCGGTGAAGAACAGAGAGCCTTTGCGCTCACGAGGCTAACACCAGGCTTTTGTCAGTGATGCAACCGAGATTGTAGAAGGTTAATTGACTTACATGACCGGAGCCATCAAGTTGGAACCAACGACCAACAGCGCTGGCTGCGATCTTGTGGTTGGCATTCTCCATCCAACCCATCTTGAAGGTCGAGGCGGCAACAATGTGTGTCCAAAGATGTACAAGACTCAAGCAATGCCCCAAAAGCCAAGGGACAAACGAGACTGGCAGACAAGAAAATCCAAAACGAAGCTGGGGAGCAGCAACCTTTTAGAGCAGCGGCCTGGCTAGTGTACCGGGCGGAACAGCTAGTCTATTAGAGTTAGTTCCTTTTGCTTCAGCTTGGGTGGGATAGATAGTTGGCCAACGGTGTGCCTGCGATAAAGATGGACGGAGTAAGACTTGAACTAGCGACAACCATGGGCAGGAATGTGGGATATGGAACGGGGTCAAAGCTGCTGACTTATAAACGGGGGAGATAAGAGACTGGGGAAGACAAGAGCCGGGGGTTTCGAGTTTGTGGATGAATGCAAATCACCAGTACATGGTATACAAAGACGAAGGTTGTACATTGGTGTGCAAGGGCGATCTGGGGGACAGAAGACCCAGGCAAGGTAATGAACTAGGCACTTACCGAATGAGGTACAAAGAGAGCGCTTGCTAATAAGGTATAACCTCGTATGTGGTGCAAGGGGACCTAGTAATGCAATGCGCGGGTGGTGTAGTTGCAGATGCAGCTGTCGCTTTTGGACAAGGCAAGATGGGACGGAAAGTAACGGTCCCAATTGCAGTGTGTTGATAGGAAGACGGCGCAATGCGACGACGGACGAGTGCACCGTATTAGGGAAGATAGTAGGGTTCTGATATCAAGGGTCTCGAGGAGCAGAGGTCCGATATAACTAGTACTTGCAGCAAAAAGAGCTTGGGGTAGGCAGGTAGAAAGTTGATCTCTCGTTGCCAAGTGAATATCGAGTAGTAGTCTAGCCCGTCCAAATCGTCGAGATTTTTTTCTGGTGTGGCGGAGACCTGCCGAGGAAAAGTTTCTCCAAGGTGGAATAGAACGAGAGGCTTCAGCTATATCCACGACAAGATGTCAGTGATCCCAGCACAACAGGCTTGAGCAAAGGGTCGCGACCAAGCGAGATTGTTGATTTTGCGCAGGATAAGAGAAGAAAGAGAGGGAGAGAGAGGGCGAAAGAAAAGAAAAATCGAGAAAAATCAAAATTGCGGAAGGCGAATTCGTGATAGCAGCTCCAGCTCCAGTTCCGGTTCCAAATCAAGCCAGGCCAAGCCAAAAATGCTCCGCTAAAACAAAAAAAAAAGGCAAGTACGAATTGGCCGGAAATACCGAGGTTGGGTCGGTTTTTTTTCTTCTTCTTCATCAGCTTGTGTCCCCAGTTCTTTTTGGTCCCATTGAAACAGAGTAGACTAGCTGCTTCATTGAACCCTTCTTTCTACCAGCCTTTCCTAAAACGCTATCGCCTCTCGAGTCTAGGAAGCGCGCCAGTCTGCAAGCCATCGTGCGGGTAACGTGGAGTCGACAGTGATAACGACGCGGGTACAACGCCACGCACAAGATGCCCGTCCAGCTACAGGCCTCGAATTTGATCTTGGCTTCGTGTGTTAAACCGAGCATCCCCTGTCGCAATTAAGACATGAGACAATTGACTGAATGGTGCTTCCAAGGTGAGTGATCTCGAACGAAGCTGTACAGGTGGGTAGAGGTGTATACGTCGATATTCAAGCTAGCGAGTTTCGTTCTTGTGGAACCATAAAGGAAACGAACGACTCGAGCCAGGAAAGCACAGATGATGATAGCAGACACGAGGCTCGGGTGCTATTCAATTGATGTACCAATGGTTACATCCATCGATCTTGTGTTTATCTGCTTTGTTGGCCAGTTACACACAGTGACGCAGACAAAAAGCCGAGACGTGATACAATTTGTAAGATGGATTCAGTTGAACAGGCACCTTTAGCTGTACCCCACGAAGTCTCTCTTGTTGATAGACATACCTATCTATAGATGAATAGGACAGCGGCGCTCTGCGACGGTGCATGTTTGATGTCTATCTGCCCTTGCGTTGTGCTATGCAGGCAGGCAGGCAGGGCAGGTGAGATCTGCTTAAGTCTATACATAATGTGCATCAAGATTGCCCATTTCAGTTTTCAGTTTTCAGGTCGATAAACGGTTTATCAAGTCGTCTGTGCATGTACACTCTGCGACAAAGTAATATAAGTGCTTACTTTAATTAATTGTTAATCAACGTTGAACTGGCTGGGGTCTCCACTACCAGATGAGTGAGGACGTTTATCGTCTTTATTAACGGGGCAGGTAGTAGGCAGGTGTGGGTAAGCCTGGCGGTTGTGCTGCTGTGTCAGCTTGTGGCTGAGCGCCTTCCTATGTCGGAGTTGGAGAAAGTACCCTCGCGTGCGCTGCTGTGCTGGAACTTTGGACGCACCGTGCGGAAACAGTTGTTCAAATCTGAGGTACTTCCATCCTGTGCACGGTCGACAATCTAACCCTTGCCGTTTATCAGTGGCGATAAGCATGGAAGAGATAACGGAGACCCAGAAAAGGGCCGTCCTCCGATCTTTATCCTTTATCGCATAGGATCGAGTTTCGGCTGCTAACAGTTTTAGTGAACGAAATATATGTATGTTCAGTTGTGCCTGAGATCCATCCGAATTATTCCGACAACACCTTCTCACGAATGCTTTATTTCCGGCGACAGTTATTTACAAGACATTGCCTTGATCATTCATTCACTCATGGCGGCTTCTGCAAGGGCTCTCAAGTCGTTCATTGTGTTTTAGTCACTGCATCTCGGACTTATTTCAGCCAGTGTTCTTGTCCCTCAATTCCCTACACACTGAATATGAATATGTTGGTAGCCAAATCCTGGCTTTGCTTTGTGTGACCATCTGCACAATCAGGTATCATCATCACGAGCCACTGCCAAGGGATTTTGGTTCTCTCATAGCTCCATATAATCCCATCCTCATGGCTTAGTTTCAGCTCACTGCCGGCCTCCTGGCACTTAGAACGAACTGTCTTTTCGTGTTCCCCAGGTTTGGATGTGTACAAGGCAAGGCACTTGGCCTGCAGGCTTCCGCCCCCCACTTTCCCAAGGTAGACCTTGGGTGCGTACTCCCGCTGTTGTAGATGAGCTCAAAGCTCCGAGTTTCATATATGAAAATTTGTCTCAACCATATCCTGGCACTGGTATCACTTCAGCGTGATGGCGGCATGACCCGACGATACTCGCTCACTCACCGCCATCGATCTCATTTCTTCTGTGCGTGCAGGGAACGTGTGAGTTCCGACTCTGTTCTTCATGAGGACCGATGGTCGGCTGCCATTAAGTAAGACAAGGCGTCCAATGAGACTACCCCCAACTAACTGAGGACGAGGTAGATCCAGGCAGGCAAGCCGTAGCATGGTAGAATACAGCATGCTTCCCCCTAAGCCTAATCGTGCAATGTGACTGTATGGGGAACCCTTGTCTTATGCGTCTACGCGTGTTGATGTGAGTTTAAATGCGATCAGCTGAGACAAGGCAAAACCCCCCGACGCTACAAGCAACCCCAGCCCATCAAAATGCGATCACTTTAGTCTCGAGTTCCACAACAACCTACAATACAGTTCCTGTGGATTGAAACATATGTCTCCAAACAAACATGAACTAATGCACTATCAGGAGTTCGTCAAGACTTTTAGTTATGGTGGTACTGTCGAGAAGCTGGAATACAGAAGCTATTCATGCCTTATGAGATATGCTAGAGTGCCTGATTGGATCTGAATAGTCCCGGTATCGTCGACAACAGATGGGACATGGTTCAAGTTATAAACACCAGCTATATCAGACACCATCGTCATAGTATAAAGGAAGCGACCAGTACAACTGATGCATATCAACGGAGCAGCACGCGTTTCTTTCCAGCGTTTGCCCAAGCATCATTTGACAGAGCAGACGTGTGCCGGCAAACCACGGTTAAGATCTAATTAATGGCTGTTGAGTTCAGACCTGTTCAACATGATCATATGTTGTTAGTGGTAGGTAGGTATAAGGTGCAATGCAGTTGGCCACCATTCTTTTGGTTCCAGAGCGTCCCAATTGAGGTTGTGACGTCAATCAGCTGAGCAGACTGGGTCTTATGACGTCGAGCATGCAGGGTCTAAATGGATTCCACGTCGGTTTCCCCACGAAACTCGTCAAGTCGATGGCTGGATGGCTGGTATCTTCCTCCGGAACTGCAGCTCTACGCCATTCTTTAACTTGGATGCGTAGACATTTATATCCTTCGTGCTTATTAAATGACGAAGGGTCTGGTCACCGCATATTTCCGCCACCAGGGTCACCCAATCTAAGTCAGTCAGTGTCAGAGGACTGAAGGGAAATCCTTTCAGTTGCATCAGATGCTGTGACATCCATTCTTGTATCCTTATGCCTTAGCCTGTCCGAACCAAGTCGTGCACCACCAATGGATCCCTGATCAGCCTTAAGTTATGCTCTGTTTCTTTACCGCTCATCACCTGTTGCATTACGTCTTTTTTATGCAGACGTCTCTTTACATAAAGAAGAGTGTATTCCCGTCATTTTCTCTTATTACTTGCTTCTCCACCATTGATTGATCGCTGCTGTTATAACCATATTTACTCAACAGTTACACCAAGATTCCTTTTCAAACTCCCCAAACCAGTACCCTTTGTTAAGACGTATTGTTGTTGCATCCATGGCATACTATCATCAGCCCAGGCAACAATCTCGTCCATATCGATATGATGATGATTTCGTTGCTCCCGATCCCGAGAGATCATATAATCCTTACGACGAAGCCCCGCCCCGCAGAGTACGAAGAGAACCGGCGACCGATGCGTCGTCTGGGCCTCCACCACGCCGTTACAAGTCGGAAAGAGGCCGCCGCCCACGAAGTCCAGGAAGACCTGTCTATCGCGATGAGTCCATGGCAGATGACCGTGGGCCCGAGTATCGCAGCCATTCTCATAGATACGAGCCAGAACGTCGTGGTCATAGTGTAGGACCTAATCGGCGATCACGAAAACTGAGCCCTCCACCATTTGGACCGCCCCCAGATTCACCTCGTCGCAAAGCCCGATCCGCGCGGCCCGAACGAGAGTCATATCGCCCTGAATATGAACATCGTCAGTCTTCAAGAGAGCCACGGCCTAGACGGGAGCGCGACGTACCCATTAGAGATGAACGTGCAGGGCGCCCAGAAAGAGACCCACGATATAAGAATGACAGTCCATCATCATATCCTTATAATCGTGACCCATATACCCAAGGGCCACCTCAGCGAGGATATCCAGACGAGGCACGGGAAACCCGTCGTGCTCAAAACAGGGATCCTGATTCCGACTATCCTCCCCGTCGCCACGGAAGGTCAGTACCGCCAGCTGCCCGATCAAGATCACGAGGAAGAACTGGGAGATCGCGGCACTCAGATTCTGGATCAGATACAGAAAACGGTCATTACGTAGCTGGAGCCGCAGGAGCGGGAGCGGGAGCTGCGGCGGCTGCTAGTCGACGACGTTCACGCTCTCAGGGAAGAGACCGGCGCGGACGAAATCTTGAACAATCTCCGACTCGTGGTCGCCCACCAGTTACCCAGAAAGCTCGCGGCGCCCCATCTGGACGTCGAAGCTCTATGCCGGCTTCTACGAAGAACAAGGCTGCTGCATGGTGGCAGAACCCTATGGTGCAGGCAGGCGCGCGTACTGCTTTTACTGCTGGTGCCCAAGCAGCGATGAAATCTGGTAAAGAATCCGGTCCTTGGTTAGGCCCCAAAGGAGCAAAGGTGGCCACTGCTGCTCTTGGTGCAGCTTTGGTTGATGGTTTTATGGGCCAGAAGCATCCTGACAGTACAAGACAAAAGCTTATGAGGGAAGGATTAAACTTGGCATCAGCGCAAACTGGAAAGGTTCCAGAGCGCCGTGGACATTCTCACTATAAATAAGTTAGACATTTATAATTACTTATTATTATCTTTTTTTTTTTACTTTCTACTTTATATTAAGCATAAATCTTTTCCAAAAAAATTTATAAATTTAAAATGAAAGAATTTATATAAATAAATTAAAAACCCTTAGTTTAAAATATAATTTAAAATTACAATAGGGAATTAATATATAGTTATAATACTTTTACTATATTATAATGGTTAGGTTTTCTAAGAAATAAATTAGTTTATTCTAAGTTTATATTAGCAGAGATATAGAGTATATAATATTAATTAGTTATAAAATATTATATCCCTTAATAGTAAATAGGGCAGGTTAAGTATCTTTAGGTAAAAATATTTTATTAATAGTTATTAAGGTAAGCATATTAATAATTATTAAGTGAATATATATACTTAAGGTAATTACTATATTAGATTAGGATTACTAAGTAATTCTAGTAATTACTAGTAATTCTTCTAGAGTTACTAGTAATTATTTATTTTTAGCAGTAATCCAATCTTAATAATTATTAGTCAAATCTAGGTATACCTAGTGATTCTATCTAATTAGTAAAAAATGTAAGGCATATATAATATAATAACTAAGATTATAATATAATATTTCCCCTCCTTAGGTTTTATCCTTAAGGCCTTACTTATTTATTGCTATTAGTTCTTATTATATATATAAATTAACTCAGACTTGTAATTATTTATTATGTTAATTATATCTTCTGCAGTATCCTAGTATTATACTGCTTAAGCTAGAATTATTGCTTCTAAAAGGTTATAAATTATACCTTGTACTATTTATACTAGGAATTGCCTTTTAATAATAAACATTTATTAACTTTAATAAATGCTTATTTAACTAACGCTATAATTAAATTAGCTCCTCCTTAGTAGCCTCTTTATTAGCCTTAATATAATCTTTTACATAAAGTAGCAAATACTCTAAAATATAATAATAAGATAATACCTACCTTTTGATAAGGAAATACCCTTACTATTATAAGTATAACTGCAATAAGTATGTTCTGCGTAATTTTTCTAGCCTTCTTTTATTGTATATTAAAGTATTAAATTTAAAATAAGAGTTTAAAGTTACTAGATAAGGATATTATGCAAATAACTAAGTAAGATAAGGTAGAGAATTATATTTCTCCTGAGTTAGATGCTATAGTAGAGTCTATAAGTAGGCGCAGTAGATTTAGTTAATTAGGATTCTATTTTTACTAGTATTTCTGTTAAGTAGATTAATCTAGTTATTAGTAGAAGTTATTTAAAAATTATAAGGCATTAACTAGGTATTTTAGTATTTCCTATATATTTTTTTTCTAGATATTTTTTTCTATTTTACTAAATATATTATTTTCTTATTAATCTTTTATATATCCCTAATTGCTGTTACTTTATAGTTTTCTAGTTTATTAATCTCCTCTAGTTTATTACTAATTTTAATTTAAATAGTATTAGCTATTAGTTTAGGAAAGAAGATATAATAGACTAAGTAAAGTCTAACTTTAGGGGATAATTCTAAGTTATATATATCTTTCTTAACTTACTATTTAATTTTATATAGCCTAATATACTTATAGTTAAGTTTATATAAAGGTTATTTATTACATTTTTTCTTATTAATAGGTAAACTATATTTCCCTCCTTAATAGTTAATCCCTTTACCTTCTTAATATTATAATACCGCTTTATTTGCTATTTAATATTTCTTAGTTCCCTTTTTATTTCCTTATATAGATTCTTAAGGTTATTTACTTTTAGTATTGCTATAGGGTTTATTATTTTAAGGTCTTTTTTATAGCTTATAATAAAAGCACTAAGTTCATGTTAAAATATATTAACCTTAGATCTATATCAAATACTTATTATAATATTATAAGTAAATAAAGTAATAAGTAGCTTTTTAACTTGATTATTTTATTTATAGTTAATATAATAATATAAGTATTATTTTAGTATTTGTTTTATTTATTTAATTTATTTGCTCATTTATAGTCTAAGTATAGTAAATATTAAGTAATTTATTCCTAGTAAGGATATATAATAGTAGAATCTTATTAAACAGTCTACTATAACTAATATATTATTATAGAAGATTCTAATTAAAGGTTTTTCTAAGAATAGTAAGTTTATAATAAAATCTATTATTATTAAGTCATATAGTTATTACATAATAGACAATAATTATAGGTTTTTATAAGGCTTATATTATTATACTTTAGTTTTTTTATATAAGATATATTATATAATAACTTATTTTCCTATTTTTTAACTTTTCTCCTAGTTAAAGTATTTTTATATTCTCTTAAGTATCTTTATAATGCCTTAGTAGCTATATAGGGGATATATATAGATTTCCTATATTAATCTATATTATAAAACTTTTAGTATGTATATATTATTATTATATTATTATAGCGTAACGTCTTATTCTATAGGGTCTTATAGGTTATATTTAATTATTTCTATCTAGATTTAATCATTCTATTTTTTACTCTATTCAATTATTTTTCCTATTTGCTTTATAATAAGGCCTAAGACTTGTACTTATTATATAAACTTATATTCTCCCAATTAAATTAATTTAAGAAGTTATTCCTTGGCTTTTATTATACTAGTATTAAAGTCTACTTACAAGCTAACTATATTAGTTTTTATACTATCTAATCCTTTTTTATAAGTAATGATAAAGCTAAATACTTAGTATATTCTATTTATTATCTATTAAATTCATATATTATAGTAAAGTAAATAATAATCTTACAGTCTATATAGACTTTAATGTGATACTAGTTTCCTATAAGGTAGAATTTAAATTCCTTAAAGCAATTAGATATTATAGAAAACTCCTTATTATATATAGGGTAGTTTAATTCTGCTCTATATAGCTTATTTAAGTAGGAATAATAAGATATAGGTTTCTAGTAATATCTTATTATTTAATTTATTCTCCTGAGGTAAAATCTAATATATTTTTTTATAGTTTAATTTGTTTTATTAAATTAAAGATTACTAAGATAATTCTACTAAGAATTACTTACTTAAGCTACTTAAATACTTATAAAACTTATTATTCTAATAAAGGTTTAATTCTTCTTAATTAGCTCTATAAGCAGACTTATAACCTTACTAAAGTTATTAGTATACTTTCTATAATAATTTATAAAGCCTAGAATGGCTTATACTTTTTTAATAATAATAGGAAACTTTTAATTAATTTTAGCAGAGACTTTATCCCTTTATATAAATCTTGCCTAATCTAATAATATATCCTAAGAGGTTAACTATAATAATTAAAAGTAATGTTTTTTTTAATTTTATTAATATTTTAATATCTTATAATAGCTATAAAACCTTATAAATATATTCTTTATATTTTTCTTTCTTATCTAGAGAACGTATAATATTATTAAAATAATATATTATAAAAATATTAAGGTATTACTAAAGTATGTTACTAATTATCTTTTAAAAGTCTATTAGTATATTTATAAGGCTAAAAGTTTATATAAAGTATTTAAAGAATCTAAACTTAGTTTAATATGCTATTTTCTATCTATTCTTATCTTTATATATATAAGGTTATATACTCCTTTAAGGTCTAGAGTAGTAAAGTTCTATTTCCCCTATAGCTAGTTATTTAACTCTATAATTAACTATGCAATATCTAATATTACATAGTATAAATACTTAAATCTTAGTAATTAATTACTAATTATTATTTTCTATTTTTCTTTAATATAAATATTATAGGTATTCCTATTATAAATATAAATAGCCTAATATATTCTTTTTTTAATTTTTATTAAATATATTTATTAAGTGTTTTTTTAGATTTCTATTAATTTAATAAATAGATTTTCTATAGTAGAATATATCTATTTATAAGTACAGTTTTATAATCTTATTTACTATATTAAGGTATCTTATTTTTCAATATTTCTTTAAATAGTTTATAATACTTTAAATATTCTTTTAATATATAAATATTATTTTTTTACTTATTTTTATTTATAGGATTTCTTTTTATAAGTTAATTCTATTAAGTATATTTAAAATATAATATAACTAGTCCTATTTGATCTTAAGAAGTTAATATAACTTTAGATTATAATAATATTTATTATAATAACCTAAGATTTTAATAATACAGGTAAGTAATAGAAATATTAATAAAACTATATGGCTTTATAATATAAGATTTTAATAGAAACTCAACATTAAAATAAATATATAATAAATCTATAGTAATATAATATTCTTTATTTACCTTAGTTTAAGGAAAGGCTTATATAATAATTAATAGAATAAAGTTATATAACCTTCCCTATATTTATATATTATAATTATAGTAATTTTAATAATAATTTTAATAAGGTATTATTACTAAATATAATTAAGGTTATTACAGCTCCTAGTATTTATATATTTACTAGTTATTTTCTTATTTTATCTTTTTTATATCTAGACTTATTATCTTTACTTAATTTCTTCTTATTAGTAATATACTCTTTATTTCTCCTACTCTAGGGTAGGTATAATATGTATTTATTTTTAAATTTCTTTTAGGCCTTTAAAACTCCAGCTAAGTATTTGTGCTAAGCTATCTAGGTATAGGGAATAAATACACAGTTTATATTTAGCGGATTAAATTAAAAAATATATATTTATACTATAGCTATATTTATATATACCTAAGGCTTATATTCTATAGCTTATTTAAAATTCTTATTAATTAATTACTATAAGTGTCTATTTACTTTAGTCTAGGTTTTATAGCTTCTATAGTTTAAGGCAGCTTTATAGTATATATTTAAACTAATTATAGTTATAGTATTTATATTTAAATATATCTCTTCCTATATTACTTGGTTATATAGCCGTTAAGGGCTATAGGTCTAGGTTATATTTTATATAAAGTATTATTTTACTGTTATTATTAGTTTTAAGAGTTATTTTTAAATATAGCTATAATTATTTCTATAGTTATTATTATA